CAAAAAAAAAAAAAAAAAAAAGAATTACAAAACTGTGCTAAGTGTCTTTCTAAGTCTATCCTCCAAAAGGAAGATAGTTTTCATGTTATGTGTCTTTGAGAAATCCTTCTCCAGACACATGACATGAAAACAGAAGGTGGCCATTGCTTTCAGAAAAGCTTAAAAACAAAACAAAATGCCCCCCCCCACATACAAAACAAAACAAAAACTAAACTAGAAGTTCCAACATAAACAATGGCTACTCTATATTTCTATACTTATAAAACAATATATTAAAAAAAGACTGCTGTATTGCTGGGTACAAGATTTAACAGGTAAAATTTCATAGCGAATAAGCCAAAATTTATAGTTGACATATGACATTTTGGTGTTTTAGTAATTTCAATAGTTCTAAGGACCCATAAATAAAACAAAACAGCTTCTGTTAGAGAAAATCACCTAGCAAAGTAAAAGGAAATATTCAAATCAGAAAAAAATTAAAGTGGGAAAACTTAGAACCAAAACATTTATTTTCACTAAAAAGGCTTCTGTTCACTTTTTTTCCCTATTGAACACCATTAACTGATAGATAAGTTATATTTGCATGGTGGTACCCATATGAGGACCTTACATTCATTTTCTTATTTTATCACCACCCTATGTGAGATATTGTCATAAATTAAGAAATGAAAACATCAGACCTCTTGAGCAACTAACGTAAGGACCCTCTACTCCTAAAAAAAAAAGTACAAGGCAAATCTTGCACACGCAGTTTTCACTCTGTTACACTACAGTGAAGTTAGGCAACTTTGAACACAGTGATGGCAGATCAGTCTTCTAAAGTCAAGCACGATGTCCTTCTATAGCTATCATGGAATTTCAGTTCAATCCCTCCTTTTTTCCCTGCCACCCATTTCCAAACACATGAGGAATGTAAAGCCTATAAGAGAATGTTATAATTTGCCCAAGATTACCAAGCATAATAATGGCAGAGCTAGGTCTAAAACCCAAATCACCAGTAGCACTTTCTATATGGAGTTTCTTTTGCTCTTATGCTAATTAAAAAAAATTTTTTTAAAGGTCTAAAGCCTTCTCTTTGATTCAAAATTTATTTTCTATAATTGATAATTATATAAGAAAGGATAAACTAAATATGGTATATAGATATTTTTAATGGCAGAAGTATGACTGCCACAAGACGGTTTGCAATGAATTCCCTTAAACTCACAGAGAATTATGAAACAACTGCATGAATAAGAGATTATTATTTTTATATTCACTTTCATTTAAAGCCACTGGCATTCATAAAAATACAAAGATGGCAAACATATTAATCACATTTTCTGCTGCCTTTCAGGACAAATGACTTGGATCTCATGTTCCAGATCTTGGTGGTAAACACACTCCTGGTCGAAGAAACAGAAGCTGCATTTAGCCCCATGTTGGTTGTCTAGCAGCTCTTTATTAACTGGAAGCAGTCTCAGGGGACTGCTGTCAAAAGGGAATCTGTATATACTATCCAAACTTCCTCTCTTTCAATTAAAAAAATCCAATTCCACTGCTTTATAAGCTACTTCTTCCTGGAAATCCACTGAATTCAGTGAAATAAGATAAACTCTTAACCATCTCGTAAAAGGCATCTTTACAAATTACCAAGCTACTATAAAATATGGATCTACTCTGTGTATCTTTCAGGAAAGATCATATAAGTATAGTAAGTATAGTATGAAATGGAGGAAGAGGGCCTTAACCCAAACCAATTAACCAAATAAATATACCATCAGAAAAAAAGAGGGAGGGTGTATATATATGTTTAGGGGTTATTATTTCCAAAGAAAACAATGAATTGAAAATTATATATTTATACATATACAAGTTATCTTGTGTTAGTGAACCTACCTGTGTATATTGTCCTGGCCAGAAGGGACTGCACCTACATTGGCTACATTGACAATGTTCTGAAGGATCACAGAGGGAGTGAAATTCTGTGGTGCAGCAATGATTATAGTAGAAGTTTCATTCATTCCTGTTAGCTTTCCTGTAAAAGCAAAAGAAAGGCTCCCTTTTACCAATTTTTTTATGAAAATCACATTTAAACAATTTTAAGCTCATGGCCAAAATTTAAAAACTTTTTTCAACAAAAGAAATACCACTTTGGAATGTAATTTATAAGATAATTATTATAAAACTAAAACAAACTGCAACTATTTCAAAGATTTTTAAAAATCTTCATTGTACAGGAAATGTGTAAAAATCCAGTCAAAAATCACTTTTAATGAATCTAAGTTGAAGTATTACAGGATAAAAACTTAGAATCACAAATATGAAATTTCAATTCGGTCCCTTTAAAATATACTCAATCTGGGCTTAATGCAAACTATTAAGTTTTATTTCTTAAGCACATATAAATGTATTTATTAGTATTAGTTATATTTTTTCTATTCATTCAAAGATCTTTTATTGCCAAATGCTGCTTGAGAACAAATCAAAGCAATTCTGGAATAACTAGCAGCATTACCTGATGAATGGCCTCAGAATAACAGTTGAAGTTGTATCAACAATGACTGGAAGTCACTGAAAATGTACAAGTATCTAAGCTACGCCTGATGGTAACAGTATTTGCTTAGTGAATGGAACTATAATTGCTGACAGAAACACTAATTGAAACTTCTGAAGTAAAAAGTTTGAAAACAAAGGAAAAAATGTGAATGGAAAATCTTAAATCCCAGAGACATTTCAAATAATTTTAGAACAGAAACTAAGTTAAGCAAAAGTATGAACAAAAACCATACAGAGTTAATGCAAGGCATGCCATTAATATCATAATCTCATGTAAAAAAATTCAGTGAACAAATTCAATAACATAACAAACACTTGGAACAAATATTGAAATTTAGTACCCAGATTAAAAAACAAAATAATTACAATAAATTCCACCTATTTGGATCTGTGATATAAATCATGGACACCTAATGGTATTAAAGCCAGTAATCCTTTGAGATACTTGATATGTACACAGTAGTTTACTTATAAAATATAAGATTTATGAAATTTATGAAAATAGTAAAATTTGATTTCACATTTTCAAAAGACCCTGTACCTCCACGCCTATATATTTAATTTCGTTATTTATTGCAAATGAACCCTAATTTTTTTTTTTTTTTAAAGTTCCTATGATTAACACTATGAAGACACTAAAGCCTAACATTGCAAAAAGACTTAAGCCATCAGATAGAAAATAGAACTATCTAGCTTCTAACAAGGAGCAGTTTTTACTAACCACTTTCAAACTCGGGAACACTATGTTCTGTCTTAGACCGTTTAACTTCCATATTAGGCAAAAGCTTTAAAAACTACACAAGCAGTCAAACACTGCTTTTAAGTAGAGCACAGTGGCGGACATAACACTGCTGAGAGATGTGTGTACTCATTTAGGATTTAAACCTTCTCCATTAAGCTCTATTGAAGAGCAACTGCTGAATAAATGAATGCAACTATGTTTATGTTAAAAGCCTGTTTCCCGCAGCATGTAATTAAAGGAAATGTTGTACAAAGCCAGTACTTTTGTCAAGCTCCTGTAAATGGAAAGATGGATAGCACTCAGAGAAGTGAATGCATTGCTTCATATTTAACCTTAACACTCTTGTCATTAATGGTTTGTCTAACTTGTTCTATAAAAGACAAGGTACTGCTCCATTGAAGTAAAATTAAAAAAATCAACTAAACCATGCTTTTCAGAACAGAAGATTCATTATCGTCAGCTAATGTATTGGCATAAAGCAAAGTAACATCCTATCAAGTAAGGCACACATTCAATCTGCCTTCCCACCCCCCTTTATTTTTAACTCATGCTGTTTTATTGTTATAGGCAATTTGTACCACTCAGCATGACAGTGTAAACTGAATCAAGATTAATTTACATGCAAAAGAACACTTAGGAGAGCAGCATGGTAAGCAAATGTATTGTCTCGATTGCTGAGGTGGAAAAAGAACCTGGAAAGAAAAAAAGGTGCTCTAATTAAGGGGCATCAAATATGATTGCTTGTGGTAGTTAAGGGCCAGAAAATAGTAAATGTCTGACCATTTAAAGAATTAGCATCTTGCTAGCTAGGAACCCATAAGATGGATGCATAAATCATAATAAAATTAAGTAAACATTTTAGGTTTCTTAAATCAGAGATTTTTCTAAATGAAAATCTATCAGGTATTCTCAAATTAACAAGGAAAAAAATATGCCAAGGTATCATTAAAAGTTTCTCCTAAAAAAAAAAAAAAGACTAAAACACTGTATAGCCTGTTTATACATAATAAAAGTAAAATTACTGGGGAAATGTTTAAAAATTGCCAGACTAAAGAATTTGTGGCTTCATTAGAATTTATCTAAATTTTGGTGAGGGTGGCAGACAGCACTTTAGGCTAAGCAGCTGGAACTGCTAAAAGGCAAACCAAATAATATAAGAAAATAAAATTCAAAAAAAATTTTCCAAGTTTTAGATTTGCAATTTAATTCACAAGAAGAAAATGAGTAAGAGGAGGTAGCTTGGAATAAACACTTAGCTTAGGCTTCTTGAAATCAAAACTGTCTAAAGAAACATTACATTTTTTTAGTAAAAAAGAAAAATCCCATGTTATTTATAGTACTGACAGCATTTCACAGCTAATACATTAACTAACTTTGCAATACTCAAAACTCATAGCAATGAATAAATCATGCTTCTGTTGAAGGCTTATAATATGAATACTATAGATACCCTTCAATATACAGGATAAGCCAATCTTTCCTTTAATACTTTGACTACTGATCTTATAAACAAACATGTTTAGCCATGAAACCCTAAATGCAACAACCGAGAAAAAGTGATAGATCAGGCTGTATATTAGAAATAAAACTTTTTTGATTTAAAAAATATTAATCTAATATGTAATAATCTGTTAGAACCACTTTTATTTAATATTGTACACACTTTTCAATTATGTAGGTCTTTAGAATAAAAATAGAACCATACTCCCCATGTTTCTTATTTATAATTTTTTTAGTCAAATCCTAATTAATACATTTAAATGTACTTCTTGAGTCTTAAAATATATGCCATGTGAAATGAGATATTCATTATGTAAATTCATTTTATTCAAAGTAGAAAAATTGGTTAAAGCTAGTGTTTAACAGTATATACACACACACTTCTTAAATTTACTTGCATTTTACCTTTCAGAACTTCGCATTGATAAAATGTGAGGAAACTGATTTTTATTCTGTTTTAGGATTTTTCCGTTAGTCATTTTGAGGTATCTTTTGTGAAATAAGCTAAGCTCTTACTAGAGTAGTGTTACAAATACACGCGTAAAGTTGAGAATTGAGACCTCTATTACCAAACCTGCTGAAATCTATAACTAAAAAGATGCTATTGAAAAGACTCTTTAAACCTACGGTAAATTTGCTAGCATCAAGTCCCACATCAAAAAATGAATTCAGGAAGACAGAAAGAATGATACAGAAATGCCAAGAGACTTGCAAGGATTTACAAATACTTCATATAAACAAATTTTCAAATAGCTTTATTCAGAGTAGCCTTTCTGCTCTATTAAACATAGCAAACAGCTGCCAGATTTATTCAGACAAATAATCAACAACCATAGAAGTAAAATGGCAGAAGAAAAAGGAATTTTGGCAACAACTCCACAGAGGACCACAGCTATTCTCCAAGTGCACCTCTCTCATGCACTTACGGTTCTGTATGGCTAGTCAGCGAAAAATCCCTCAGTCACAGCAGAGCACAAAAAATTTGATCGAAATATCAAGTATTCTGAACAAAAGCTGAGGGAGAGAAAGGTATACGATGATCTGCTGCTTTAGATACACTTTAGCTATACTTTTCAAAAAAAAGAGACTATCCCCTTAACAATAAATGTGCCAAATCCTTATTCAGTCACTGTGTGCCACTCACCTTGGTTTGTTGAGCAGATGTAAAGCAGAGAGGCAGGCTTTAGCCAGCAAAGGGTAAGAATAGCAAATATAAGAATCAATTCAATTTGTCAATAGAAAAATAAAATCACAAAGATAATTTTCTTCTACAGCAATAATCACCTTCCAAGAAAAGCAAATGCAAAGATAGATTCAGTCATTCTTTTTAATCACTTAAAAATAAGGTCCAAGGAAAAAAGATTACTATTAGTTTACAGCCTTCTATGAGATGTTCTTTGTAGGATTCTTCTATAACAGGTCTTTTTGACATTGTGGATCACAAAGGCTTAGAGAAAAAAAAAATCTTCAGCACTACAATAATGGAGTGCCAGGAAGCATGCTCCTCTTCTTAGGTGAGGGTATTTGTGTGTGCCTAGTACCTTCTGGAAGCTTGATGGATATAATTCAATGACCTCAAAATGAAGGGATCTTGTTTGATAACACCGCCAGAGGAAAAAATAGCTTAGATTCACATAAAGTTTTAAAAATTGCTGACAATAGCATTTAAATATGCCCTGGTTTTATAAATGTTATCCTTACTTAAACATATAAAAGTAGACAGAGTTATTTCCCTTTACTCATATATAAAAAAAAAAACACCTCATTTTTATTAGAAGGTATGCTTGACTGTGGGCCAAGTATAGGATGTTCATACTTTCATTCTGTTGAAAATATTTTCTTTTTAGGTACATATTTTAAAATGTTTTGGCTTTGATATATTCTGACAATATAGCAGTTTTAAAATATAGAATTAGGTCAAACGAAAATAGAGGTATTATTTTAATGCTATAATTAGGACTTTATTTTGAAAGGTAAGGTACTCTAATGTGTGCAGGGAAAAATACATTAGTGGGACATGAAAAACAGTTCTATAATGAAAAAAATACAGAAACACAATATTTATAGTTGTAGGACATTGGTAAGTCCTCAATTCCTGGTGCTTTCACTAACACGAAACACATTAGTATATTATCAGGTTGACAAATCACAACTCTCAGAATTGCAAAGGTGATTATTTTAAAGACATATTAACCAATTCTCAAGTATGCCAGGAATGTAGACAAACATATTTTTAAGGTTATTTATAGGTACAAAGCATTAACAAAAATTGGAAGATTGTACACTGATGTCTGTTAATGGCTATGTGTATATGGTAAGTTATTTTAGAGACTGGACAGAAGAATTAGCACATATTATTTGGTAAGTAGATTTCTAGTAAATTATAGTAATTTCTCACCTTGCTCCTTCTTAAAATCTTTCTCCGACATGGCCACAGGTAAAAGCAGTTCTCCAACAGGTGGTTGAATATTAACATTGAAGCAATCATCCTTGGTACTGAAGAAAAAAACAATCCAAACTGACTAAATGTTTAATAAATAATCATTCTTAATACTATGCAGTTGAATAGAAGCAATTAAAGCATATGCCAGCCTATAAAGCATAAGCTCTTTTTGGCTTAAATAGTACAGCTAAATATTACAGCTGAATTTTTCTCAAACAACATTATTTATAGAAAAATACATCTGTTAATCAGAATTTTTGAAAACAAAACTGCACAGTTATAGTAAATTATATCATCTGACACAGAACTTTTAAAAATAGTAGCAAGGGTATATAATCACTACCACCAGAGGAACACTTGAGCTTGGAGACAAGTAATATTTTATCTTTACTTTGTACACTTGAACAAGTATAGAAGATGAAGTGCTTTAGTCTTATATGATTCAGATCCCTTTTTTTAAATATTAGTGTTTAATAAAGAATAAAATGGAGTGACCATACTGTGTTTAGATATGTGCTAATTAATATATATTAATATATAATAATATCTCATCTGCAAACTTGCTTTCTTTAAAAAAATCCTTATTGTCTAATAGTGTTATTCATTAACATTATTGATCAACATGTGATAAAAGTTACTATTTCAAATGGCAGGATATGAAGAATTTAAGAAAGCCAACCCTGTTTGGTCCAGTATCAGATACTGAGTACTGATACTGAGTACAGATACTGAGTACATTTACTTCACTTAAATCTCATGACATAACTATTGATACAAAATGACTAAAATGGCATTAAAATTTTTTTAAGTTGGACATTTAAAGTTAGGTTGATGAGTATATCAGTTAGGAGTGTGTTTGGCTGCAAATAAGCAGAAAATCCAACTAACAGTTTCTTAAGAAATAGGTGTTTATTGTTTAGAATATAAGAAGTCTTGGAGTTACCACTCAAAGGCTCACTAAGTGGCTTAAAGAAGCCTTTAGGGGTCCAGATTTCTCTAACTTTCCCACTCTGCCATCCTTAGTATGTTGGCTTTCATCCTCATGGTTGCCACATGGCTGCTGCATCTCCAGGTACCACTTTTACATTCCAACTGAAGGAACAGTGATGATGAAAGAGTGTTGAATAATTGAACCAACCAAATCTGTTTCTTTTTATCAGGAAAGGAAAACCTTTCCTGAAAGTCCCATAGAGGGACTTCTACTTTCATGTTAGAACTGGATCCCATGCCTCTGGGAAGGTGGCTAGAGCAATGGCGACTGTGGATAAGAAATACCAAACGTTAGGTTAAGATACAATTGAATTTATTCAAGTGTGGGGTAGGGACAATAATAAAATATGAAAAAAGAACACAAAAATCCACTTTTATTTTATGCTATTATGTATCATAATACAAGCTGCCTTATATTTTTTCACATGTGGATTGTCTAAGGCAAATCAATAAATCCAATTTATTAATTCAATAAAGATTTACTGAATATAAACTTGATCCTATGTACTGAGTATCTGGGGATTTAAAGCCAAATGATATTGGCCCTTGGAAATCACGTGTCTAGTGGGAGGGAAAGAAATTACATTTATGATGGAATGGTAGGCACGGCATTATATATGTGGAAAGCATTATAGTCCATGGGAGGGGGACTGATTCGTTCTGCAGGAGTGAGGTGAAGATAAGTTTATTTCCAAGAGGAGACAGAGGGCATTCTAGGCCTGTGTTTTGGGAATGATGAGCAGCCTGCTGTGTCAACAGATGAAGCCGGGGCACACTGTAAAGAATATCATCTATATTAAGGCCATTCACCCCAGTTCTCCCAGGATAGTCCCAGTTTATGGCTGTTGTCCTGGAATCCTGTCCAGTTAGTGCCTTCTTTCACTCTCTAAAGTGTCCTGATTTGTATGATTAAGGTATATCATTAGTTTATTCATATAACTAAGACAAAGGTGTTTCAATGTTTCTTGAAGCAATGAGAAAACACCAGAGACTTCTGACATAGGAAAGTAAATGACCCCATTTGTGTTTCAGAAACTCTGGTGGCAGTGTGTAAGGTGGAGTAGAGGAACAATGAAAGGCAGGTAGACCAGTTATGAGTCTAATTTAATAGTCTAAGCAGGGGTTTTTAGTATTTACTGTGTGTTTTCCTTTAGTAAATCCTAACAAGGATACTAAGTGGTAGCTGCTGTTACCCCAAATTTACTGATAAGAAAACTAAAGAGATGTTTAAATAATATGCCCAAGGTCACATTGCTAGTAAGTGGCAGCACTGGGATTTGAATCCAGGTGGATCTGACTCCAAAGTCCACATTTATTCCACTATATTATGTAGCTTCCCTAGGGTGGGTAGCACAGAATATTTTATGAACATTATAGAGTTAGAAGGGACAGACCTGTGATGGATGGGAGGAAGGAATTTTGTACCTTTTGATGTGAACAACTGGGTGTATGACAACATATTGAAGGATTTTGGGGGGATTAGACAAAATGATTTGGCTTTAACCATGTTAAATTTTGAGTACTGAGTTACCCAGGTAGAGAAATACAGCAGATCATTAGAAATAGAAATCAAGAATCAGGAGAGAGGACAGGGTAGTACACCTGAGTTTTAAAGTAGTAAGAATGGTATAGGGAAGAGCTAAAGCCTTACAAGAGGATAAAATCACACAGGATAAGAAGATACTGATAAAAAGGATGAGGTGCAAACCTGGGGAAGACCCGAATTTAAGTGAAAATGGAAGAAGAGCAATTTGCAGAAGAGATTAGGAAAGAGTGGTCAGGGAGAAGAGGTATACTGCAGGGAGGAAGTAAGATGAGGAACACAAAGAAGTGAGTATAACTGCTGACCTTAGGAAGGCAGCAAGTCAAAGGGTAAAGGGAAGACTGTCAGTGGAAGAAGGGACAGAAGCCACAGAAGCTTCATGAGGAGGAAGAGGCAAAAGAAGAATGTTTAAAGAAACCTAAGCATGTTTAAAGGCTGGAGGGAAAGAGCCAGTGAAGAGGAGGAAACAAATGAGGTCTTAGGAGAGGTAAAAGAGTTTGGGATTAAGAGCACAAGAGCTAGGTGGACAGGTTAGCCCTAGAATGGAGTAGGTACTTTTTCAGAAACAGCAGAGAAGGAGTGGTTTAAGACAGAGAGAAGTATCGAGGGTAGGATACTTGAGAAATACATTAAGAGAAATACATAAAGGTCGATGAAAGAGTGTATGAATATGTATACGCATATATATATTCATATATATATGAACCACATATATAAATTATAAACTAATTGAGTGTGAAATATAAAATTTTAGCTTTAAATCACTGGATACAAAGCTTCCCAAAGTAAGAGGCACAAGGCAAAACATTAAGGTATAGGCAAAAACCCTACTAATTATTTTTTTCTCGTCCCTTTTTAAGTTCTGTTTTTGTCTGTTTAGTACATACATGTAGCACAGTGAGACATAAACATAATACATATATATATACACATATAAATATTAATAATTTAGAAATAAACTTACACATATAGGGAATACATAGTCAAAATATTTTTACTAATAGAGGTGCATAATTTTAAAAAGTTAGGGACCATTGGGTTAAGTTATATGTACTACATTATTTTTAACTACTTGTTTTTTTCTTTTTAATAAAAACCCCTCTCCTTCCCAACGCTCCTGAAGGACACCACAAACTTCCTTGATTAAAAGGGTGGGGAGTGCAGAGAGAGAAGGGGAAGGAGATTTGCCTTCTAAGGTGCAGAAGAGAGTTTACGTGGGTAAGCAGCAAGTTTAACTTTGGTGGGAAAAAGTTGATCCTGAAATGTCCCCACTAGCAACAAGCAATGTGTTAGAGAATAATATATATCAGCAGTTCCCAACCTTTTTGGCACCAGGGACTGGTTTCATGGAAGACAATTTTTCCACAGATGGGGGGAGATGGTTTCAGGATGATTCAAGTGCACTACATTTATTGTGCAGTCAAACCTCTCTGTAGTTTATCATTATTAATGATAATGCTATTGATATTAATGATATCACTAGTGATAATCTGTATTTGCAGCCGCTCCCCAGTGCTACCATCACCACCTCAGCTGCACCTCAGAGCATAAGGCATTAGATTCTCATAAGAAGCACGCAACCTAGATCCCTCACATGTGCCGTTTACAATAGGGTTCGCACTCCTATGAGGATCTAATGCTGCTGCTGATCTGACCAGAGGCAGAGCTCAGGCAGTGATGCAAGCAGTGGGGAGTGGCTGTAAATACAGATGAAGCTCTACTGTTTGCCTACCGCTCACCTCCTGTCTGTGGCCCGGGGCCTAACAGGCCACAGACCAGTACCAGTCCATGGCCCAGGGCTTGGGGACTGCAGATATTTATGATTCAGCTTGACTGGTTATCTTTTTGCTTTTGTTGCTTTTGGTTCATGCATGTTTTATTTTCTGTAGTTGGTGAAATGGTTAACATGTAATGATGTATGAAAAACCAAGGATTTACGTGTATCCCAAATGGGTCTACTGAGGCAAATGTAATGAAATTAGAATGCTGCTGGGGAAGACACTGCTCATAGCTTACTCAGTATCTATTTTCTTTCTTCTTTCTTGATGCAATCCTGGTTTTGTTCAGGTAGACAATGTGCCCAAGTGAAGCATATTTCTTAGCCCCTCTTGTAGCTAGGAGCATTCAAGTGATCCAGATATGACCAATGAATTGTAAACAGAAATTCATTGCGGATTTCTGGGAAAGTTTTGCTTTTCTGACATACACATGGTTCCTTCCTCTGCGTTACTTCTTTCCTTTTTTTGCCTGGAATGCAGATAGAAGCCTGGAAGTGGAGCAGCCACCTTGTGAGCATGAGGATGACTAGCACACGCTAATACTCTGTGAAGCTATTAAACCAGCTCTGAACTGCTGACCTCTATACTTCTTGTTCTAGGAGAATGATAAATCCCTATTTGATTACAGTTGGGTTTCTGTTAATACAAAATCAATATAACTACTATATAACATATTTTAGAAGCCAGTCCTAACTTCTAAGCAAGGTATGGCTTATAAAGGAGTTAAGAAAGAATGTTTCCT